AAAAAAAAAAAAGCACATATTATACTCACCACTGGAGGAAAGCAATCCAAATTATTAAATGACAAGTTTAGGTACAACAAGAAGTCAGACAAAGGTGAGAGGTCAGGAAGCCGAGGGAGAAAATATGCCTAAAGATTATGAAGCAAAAAAAAAATTTTTTTTAAAATCATCACATCAATGTTTCTTAAAAAAAAAAAAAAGAACAGGGACTTGTCAGGGACTAGACTTCAAGATTTGAACATTTCCATGTAAAGATGCATCAACAGAATCTGTTTCTTAAATTGGCTGATGCAATTTCAGGGTATTTGCTGGCTATTAGTTCCAGTGATTTCCCCCCCCCCCCTTTTTTTGTGTGTGTGCCTTTGAGTCTTGATTTTGGGCGACTGCCTAGACTCGTCCCTGCAGTTTTCTTAGCAAGATTTTAGAAGTGGTTTGCCATGGCCTGCTTCCTAGGGCTGAGAGAGAGGGACTGGCCCAAGGTCACCCAGCTGGCTTTGTACCTAGGCGGGACTAGAACTGGTTCTAGCCTGCCTTCACCACCACACCAAACAGGCTTTGTAGTGGATATTAAGTCACCCAGAGTTCCCTCTGGAGTAGATGGGTGGCATATAAATTTAATAATAAATAAATAAATAAAAAAATAAATAGCAGCAGCAGCTTTATTCTCAGATATATAATGCAATGACAGCTAAGCCCTTCCTATGTGGGTTTTTTTTCCCCATCTTGTGACTCTGTTTTTAGGCAAGACATATCCTACCTCCTATTCTTTTATCTGCTAATTTTAGCCAGTGCTGAAATTAAATGTGTGGGAGATCTGAAATTATAACTACCTAGCACCACAATTTTTGCTTAACAGCCCCTTGATATTACTCCAAACAAGGGAAAATGGTTATTGGAGAAATGTTATTTAATCATTTCCTCGCACCCCTAAATTTGTTAACCCAGACACTACTAATAATAGGATTCTGTGTAATGTGCACGTGTGAGAGAAAGAGAGGGAGGAGATGACACACATTTAAACTGCAAACTCACCTATTATTATAAAAATAAACGTTTTCCATACCCCTCTGCTGCCATCTATTGATCCTCTGGCTTTTTGCAGCCCGGATGTGGTCCCCCTATCATTATGCCTTTGTGTTATATATAAATTCGGCCCTGTGGTTTGTTCAATGAATTGTGATTTGAAGGGGGAAAAACCGGGTTGTGCTATGTATGTATGTATGCATATTTGACTACTCAGGGAAGATCCATTCAAACATAGCATCTAACCTGTTGACTTGAAGTGGTTTGGGAATAGGATAGGCGTATGCCAATGTCTTCCAACCTAGGCATCCATAAGATGCGAGGACTTCCAGTCTCAGAATTCCCCAGCCAGTACCCTAACTGGGGAATTCTGGGTGTTGAAGTTGTCAGAAAACGACAGACACGGGTTCGGTTGTCCAGTAGGCAGAAG